TCAGAGACTGCTTCAATTAACAAAACTCAAGACACAGCAGAGAAAAAGAGAAGACCACACCATCCTCCAGATCATTAATAAAGATATTAAACAAAACCGGCCCCAGGACCGACCCTTGGGGCACTCCGCTTGAAACCGGCTGCCAACTAGACATGGAGCCGTTGATCATTACCCGTTGAGCCCGAAGATCTAGCCAGCTTTCTATCCACCTTACAGTCCATTACATTACAGCCCATACTTCTTTAACTTGGTGGCAAAAATACTGTGGGAGACCGTATCAAAAGCTTTGCTAAAGTCAAGGAATAACACATCCACAGCTTTCCCCTCATCCACAGAGCCAGTTATCTCCTCATAGAAGGCAATTAGGTTAGTCAGGCACGACTTCCCCTTCGTGAATCCATGCTGACTGTTCCTGATCACTTTCCTCTCCTCTAAGTGTTTCATAATTGATTCCTTGAGGACCTGCTCCATGATTTTTCCAGGACTGAGGTGAGGCTGACTGGCCTGTAGTTCTGCAGATCCTCCTTCCCTTTTTTAAAGATGGGCACTACATTAGCCTTTTTCCAGTCATCTGGGACCTCCCCCGATCGCCATGAGTTTTCAAAAATAATGGCCAATGGCTCTGCAATCTCATCCGCCAACTCCTTTAGCACCCTTGGATGCAGCGCATCCGGCCCCATGGACTTGTGCACGTCCAGTTTGTCTAAATAGTCCCCAACCACTTCTTTCTCCACAGAGGGCTGGTCACCTCCTCCCCATTCTGTGCTGCCCAGTGCAGTAGTCTGGGAGCTGACCTTGTTTGTGAAGACAGAGGCAAAAAAAGCATTGAGTACATTAGCTTTTTCCACATCCTCTGTCACTAGGTTGCCTCCCCCATTCAGTAAGGGGCCCACACTTTCCTTGACCTTCTTGTTGCTAACATACCTGAAGAAACACTTCTTGTTACTCTTAATATCCCTTGCTAGCTGCAACTCCAAGTGTGATTTGGCCTTCCTGATTTCACTCCTGCATGCCTGAGCAATATTTTTATACTCCTCCCTGTCCCGCACCCCTGGATACCTGCCCCCACCAGATCCCAGGCCCCCTGAATCCCTGCATGCCACCCCCCCACCCCTGGATCACTTCTCTGCCCCCTGATCACTGTTCACCCTGCCCAAGTGACTGTCCCCCCCCAGCCTCCCTGGATCACACCCCTCCTCACTTGACCTGTTCCTGCCTCTGCCCAGCCCCCAATCAATGCCCACCCACCTTGCCCATTCTGGGGGGAGGGGCTCTGGGATCTGCCCGTGCTGCGGCCCCCGGGGCTCTGTGTCTGCCCGCGGTCGCTCAGGCTCCCCGCTTCCCTCCAGCATGGCCTACATCCTGCACCAGTCGGTCACAGGCCACGGCCACGCCCGGGGCTACGAGAAGATGGAGGAGAGTCCTGGCTGCTGCGCGCCCCCCGGGAGCCCCCCGCCCGGCAGCACCAGCGTGCGCGCCGCCTTCGTGCATGTGGTGGGGGACCTGCTGCAAAGCCTCGGGGTGCTGACAGCTGCCACCATCATCTACGTGGAGGTACGGCGCGAACAACCTCAGGCCAGCGTGTAACACGGCCCTGCCTCGGCTGCCTGGCGCCCCTGCTAACCGCCTCCCGGTGCCCCCGCTAACCACATCCCTCCATCCGCTGCCTCGCGCCCACACTAACCGCAGTCCAAACTCCTCTGCCTTGTGCCCCCGTTAACCGCGTCCCTCCATCCGCCGCCTCGCGCCCACACTAACCGCGGCCCAAATCCCTCTGCTTTGTGCCCCCGCTAACCGCGGCCCAAACCCCTCTGCCTGGCGCCCCCGCTAACCGCATCCCTCTGTCCGCCTCCTGGCGCCCCCGCTAACCACATCCCTTCTTCCGCCACCTCGCACCCCCACTACCCACGTCCCTCCCTGCGCCGCCTCACACCCCCGCTAACCGTCTCCCTCCCTGCGCTGCCCCCCTGCCCCTCTTTCCACGTCCCTCCCTCTGAGGGGCCCACCTGCCCCCTCCCCCATGGGTTCGCCTTTGCACAGACACCTGTGTGCCCCGCTCCCTGCCTCGGCCGGAGCTCCTGGGGTGGGAGATGCTCTGTCCCAGGTGGCAGCAGGCCAGTGACCCTGCCCTGCAGCTCCTGCCTGTCCCGGGGCTCCCTGGGGCTGGGGGGAGACAGGACCTGCCCAGGGGAAATAGACTGAGATCCCCACAGGCCCCCTCACTGGGACCCTGGTGCCCAGCCCCAAGGAAGAGCCCTATGCCAGCTCCCCATGCTGGGCTGTGCCCACTGCCCTCTGCTGCCACGTTCCCTCGGTGCCCCCCCCCGCCAGCTTGGGGACAGTGGGGCTGGGCCAGGGACTCCTGGGTTCCACTCCTAGGTCCGACCCCTCACTGGGTGCGGCTCTGGGGATCCGCTGGCTGCCTGGGGATAACCCCGACCCTGCCCCTTGCAGCCCCGGTACAAGATCGCAGACCCCGTCAGCACCTTCCTCTTCTCCGTCTTCGTGCTGGGCTCCACCGTCACCATCCTCAGGGACGTCTTCCGGGTCCTCATGGAAGGTGAGCTGGGGGGGCAT